TATCTATCTATCTATCTATCTATCTATCTATCTATCTATCTATCTATCTATCTATCTATCTATCTATCTATCTATCTATCTATCTATCTATCTATGGTATATATCCTGAATATCAGTTAAGATTTCTTCTGGGAAGGAAAGAATGGACTTCTTGATTACTCTTGACATCTATGATCTGGACTTTTTTTTTTATAACAAATAATAAACTAAATTTCCAAGTAAAGACCAAGAACAGTATCATTATTTTGCAAAGGAAACAAACTTAAAATAATTTTTTTTCTAAAATTTATTCCCTTATAAGGTAAATGAACCTAATGTGTCTAAGTATTAACTGGAACAATTTCATGATAAAGTTGAAAGAGGGATTAAGATTAGTAGTGTTCTGTTCATTTATATAAATGATGGCATTCAAAACAATAGTAACAAGTGGCATTGCTTAACATCTTTTAAAACTGTTTATTACAAAATCAAGTGATTTTGACAAGATAGCTATTTAAAAATAATTTAGTACAAATACACAATATCTAAATTATGACTCTTTTGAGTACAAAGGGAAAAAAAACCCTGAAAAGTTAGTGGAAGCACAAAATAAGTTATAAATAAATATAAAAATAGAATTGTAAACTTTTTAAAAATAAAAGACAAGATTATTTGTGTATAAAAATCTAAATACAAGGTTATCAATAAAGCATATTGATCAGGAAATCTGTTCTCTGAATTTGTGACACAATTTGGGGTGAAGGTGGTAAGCTTCCACCCATTTCACATGCAAGTATTATCAACAAGCTGTGATCTAACAGGAAGCCCTCTTCAAGACAAAAGTGCTTCCTGCTAATATAAAAACCAACTGGGCTTTCTGAGTCACAAGCATGCGGCAGCAGGAAGGTGAGGGAAACTGAAATTAGGAAAAAGGAAGGGCAGTATGTTTTTGGCTCTTTGTCACACAGCTACGCTTAGCCGTGGTACGTCCTGCACTGGCATGCTCCGTGTAGTGTCCAGTTGGTTATACTCCTGTATGAGCGCTGACAAAGACAACACGGCCTCTGAGAAACAGCTTTCCTCCATCCCTTCGACTTGGAGATAGTGATGGAGATGAGCCTGAAAATAACCCATCGATAACATTTACTGCCTCAGGAACTTTATAAACGGGAAATGAGAACTTGAGTAAAATAGACTATGGAAATCCTATACTCAGGCAACTTCCCATTTAAAGTCAGTGGAAGTCTCTTTTCTTCAGTTACTATCAGTATAGCAATGTATGGTAGACAAGGCCAATCCTGACTTGTGTTACCACGTACCTTAGCCAAGACAGTTACAAAAGTGTGTGGTTACCTTTTTCTTGTACAGCCTCATGAACCTGTCTCTCAGCTCCATGAAGGTAGGTTTCACGCATGTGTTATTTGCTAAAGCTAATAATGAATGCGAGTGGCCCACAGGAGGTACTGAACACAGGCTGGTCTTCCAGCCTTCTTGATTCCAGGAGACAAACTGCAGGGCAGGTTTTAATCTGAGACATAGAAACTTAAAGGTAAGAACTAAGTCACTAAAAATGTCTACCATATTATGGTACTCTACATTAGTTAAAGGATACTAGTGATGGCATCAGTCTAATTATTAACTAAGTTTATAATCTAAATGATTTATTTTACATTAGCTTTATGTAACAATGTGATAAGTTACAATGTCATTTAATAGTAACTCAAGGACATTAAATTGGCTATGGAGGGATTTAAAAACCTAGAAACATTTTACTTAAAGTTGGAAATCTGGTAATGAAAGGAAATAAAGGCATAATTTTCTCTTTTTAATTGTATAGAACAGTTTTCTAAAAACATTCTGCCAAATAGTAAAAATAAATGTAGAAGCTGTGCAGCAGTGGTGGGAATTCCTTTTGGATATGCTCAGAAAATAAAATCACTTACATACATTTAATAGTCATAAATAACATTATATTATTATTTCTATTTATACTTGAAAGAAACAAGTCGCAGAGAAGCCTTCCCAAGTTCACACTTTAGGAAGTGGCATTATTATGTTTGAAGAGAGGCTGTCTTCCTTACTATACTCCATTGTCCCAAGTAGACATAAATTACCTTGAAGAATAGAAAACGAACCTTTCAATATTTCGACGAAGATCTGAAATCTGTACATTTCCTCTAACCATGAGGGCACAGGCAAGGTATAGACTGTGTCTGGGGTCTCCTCGAATTAGCTGGTGATCTTTGCTGAAGGCATCTGAAAACATCTGATCCAACCTAGAACAGGAAATAGAAAAAAAGATCCACTGATGTACAGATGGGTTTCAGTGACATAAGTAAGGTAATGAGTTTTATAATCTTTTGGTGATACATTATAATTCAAAACAAATCTTCACCATGGACTTCTTTTTTTTTTTTCTTTTTTTATTTTATTTTATTTGTGAACATACTGTACAGAGGGGTTACAATTGCATGGGCAGGATAATGGGTACATTTCTTACCAAGCATTGCAGCCTCCTCCTTTGTTTACCCTTCCCATCCCTTCCCAGCCTCCCCCCTCCCCCCATCCCAATCCTTCTCCTTCCCCCCTCCCTTCCCCTCCTCCCCTCCCCCCCCCCCCCCCCCCCCCGCACCGACGTTGTAAAGCTCGTTTTGGACATGACAACTTGTACTTCTCATTGTTGCATCAGATCCACCTGTATACTTAAACAACTGGTTTTTCCCCATCTCCTCCACAAGTTATACTGACATCAAATATAGTGAAAGCAGGGGTTATACTGTGGGGGAGGGACATACAAAGCAACAAAGAGATAATCTTATAAATGCGTTAGAAACACATGTATGAAAGAAAAAACATTAAAATACATATCTAAGGGTTCATTTTCCTGACATCACATTATCTGACCTTTTCCGCTTGACTCGTACATATACTAGATATTGCAAATAAGGGAAACCATGGGACCTATGTTTCTTTGGGCCTGGCTTACTTCACTTAATATAATTTTTTCCAAGTTTTTCCATTTCCTAACAAATGGGGCAATGTCATTCTTTCTGATGGAGGCATAGACTTCTATGACTAGAAAAGTGCTGCCAGGAGCTGGTGACTCACACCTGTAATTCTAACTCCTCAAGGGGCTGAGATCTGAGGATGGCAGTTTTAAGCCAGCCTGGGCAGGAAAGTCTGTTTAATCTCCAATTGGGTATCAAAACAGCCAAAAGCAGAGCTGTGGCTAAAGTGGTAAGAGTGCTAGCCTTGAGCAAAAATGGTCAGGAATAGTGCCCAGGACTAGCATGCACGCATGCACGTGTTGACATAAAAGTATTATCTTTATCAAAATAAACCAAGTAAAGTATATTCAACTGACTTTTAAATATTTAAATAGGAGAACCAAGTCAGAACATATTTTTCTTTATGTTAAACTTAATTACAAAGATTCCATTTGTTCATTTCTGTTTTTGTGGGGGAAGGGGCGAGTGTTTGTGCTTGTTAGACTGGCATGGTGGCAATGAACCACACTTCTGGTCTTGGTTTTCACTGGCCATTATTTTAGGATAGGGTCTAGCATCCTGACTGGGCATGTTCCTGAGTCACATTCTATCTATGTCAAGCTTCCTGTCATTGCTGGAATCATAAGTGTGTGCCGGCACATTTATCTTTCTTTTGTGGAAATGGAATCTTCCAGACTTAAGAAATAACTTTACTGTTTTCTTAAGAAATAACTTTACTGTTGGATGCTTATGGCTCATGCCTGTGATCCTAGCTACTCAGGAGGTGGATCTAAGGATAGTGGTTCCAAGCCAGCCTGGGCAGGAAAGTCCTTAAGACTCTTATCTCCTATTAGCCATCATAGAGATAGCAATAGAGCTGTGGTTCAAGTGGAAGAGCACTAGCCTTAAGCATAAAAGCTCAGAGACAGTGACCAGGCTGAGTTCAATCTCCAGGACCAGCACATACACACACATAAAGAATAAATTTTACATATATTTACAGTAATTAGTTTACCATCAAAGTACAATTAGGGTTCAGGTTAAAAGTGCTCACTCTCCTTAAAAATATTAGCATGCTGAGTGAATACAGTGAATAAAATATTCTACATTGTATATACTGTTTCATTATAGTGATCATTATGATCCAATGGGGAAAGGTGTCCTACCTTGCTTCCAGGACTATCACTTGTAATATTCCTAAAACATACAACTATTACCTTGTTGAAGCTTTATAAAAAGAAATCTCTAGTTTTTATTTTCCTATTTTTCCGATTTGCATTTTCAACTGTGCATGTAAATGATGATAAGCTAATCATCACTGTGTATGCCAAGAGCATCTTTTAAAACCATTTTGTTTTTGGGTTAAAGAAAGTGATATTAACTTTATGCTTAAAGATGACACACACAAGCTGCAGAACCATGTGTTTAGGAGAACAATAGCTACCATACGAAAACTCAATATTATTTAAAAAGCATATGTGAAAAGTACACTTCCGCTTTTACAGGTAAGAAAAACTAAAGATGAAAAGTCACTTGCTCCAAGTTTAATGATATCATACATATGTACACACACACACACACACACACACACACACACACACACACACACACACACACACACACACACACAGGGCAGTTATCAATTACGTTTTATATATTTCCCACAAATAAAATGATTACTGACCAGATAACGTAAACGTTAAAAGTTGTGCTTTAAAATAGAACTTCACATTCTTCAGAGATTAGAATTCATTTACATCTTACCTGCGAGGAGGAATGTTGACATCTGCCAGTGTATACAGAGGGGTCAGGCTTGATGTAAGATAATGAAGTTGAGGAAAAGGAACTAAATTCATGCTGATTTCATTAAGGTCCATATTAAGGGACCCTTCAAACCTTGCAGAGCTGCAAGATTAATAAGAAAACAATAAAGGTATTAACTTTCAAATTATATACTTTGAATTTCAGTTGCTTTATTCAGTTGGCATTTTCTCTAATCCTATTGTACAATGATCAGTGAGGAATGTTACTGTTTTCTTTTTCTTTTTTTTTTTTTTGGGTCCGGTCGTGGGGCCTGAACTCTGGGCCTGGGCACTGTCCCTCAGCTCTTCAGCTCAAGGTTAGCAC